GGGGGGGGTATTTGCGTATTTTATTTGGCAGGGGGTATGCGGGTCGAGGAGTACAGGTCATGTGGAAATGAAAATTACGGCCGAGAAACTCCGACAGATATATGTGAGTGTACGCGGTGAGAGTAAGGAGCATCTGATTTTTGGTGATTGATGTGAAAAACAAACAAAACAAAAAAGTGTGCAGCGTGACGTCCACAAGTTTTACACGACGCTTGTAGAAAAACATAGTTCCTACCAGTGGTACATTAGGCTCAACCAAAACCGTCCGGAAAGATTTAGATGACTGTGAGCTAAATAAAATTCCACAACCCTTTATTAACGGACTTTTGCTTACACCTCATTCTTACATTAACTCCTCAAAGCAATAATGAAACGCGCGGAGCACAAAAAAATCGAGCAGTAGAAAATAATGTATTAAAATGAAAGAAGTAACAAGTAGTAAAACTGCGGACACCGCAGCGCAGCCAATCTCGTTACCTATACAACATGACCGTCCCTGAGTGGAGTCAACGAGACTCCCCTAAGGGCAGCCCCGGCGGGGCGGGGCAGACAGCTTTCACGAACATGGTCCACACACTTACATGTCGGTAAGTGGTGCCGCCGCCTCTGGCAAGCCTCTGGCCGGATAACCCTGGCGCGCTGTGGTTTACCGCGATGCCTAGCGAAACTCACATGTGCATCACACATTTCTCATACCGAGACCGCAGAGCGCCCCGCTACTACAGGACTACACTACTGCTGCTCGCAATGAGACTCGAGGACGACGTGCTTCCAGCAGCCCCGTCAGCTGGCTCAAACTGCCAAAAGAGGCTTATTACTGCAGCGGGAAAAAGCAGAGAGAGAGAGAGAGAGAGAGAGAGAGAGAGAGAGAGAGAGAGGAAGGGAGAGAGAGACAGGGAGGAAGAGAGACAGGGAGATAGAGAGCGAGAAAGATACAGAGAGACGGGCCGAAAATGTCGTGGATATCCCAAATGATGGCGCCGCGCATAATGGTCGTTTATGCCGTGATTTGTCCCTCCTCGTCACGACGGCCCGCGCGCCCCTCATGTGAGAAAGTGATGAGCTTTCACGCGCCTTATCAGCGTGACGTCACTCATAAGGGGACGATAAAGAGGGAAGAAGAGAGACAAAGAGAGCTATAACTCACGCGCAGGGAACGGGCGCCAAAGCGGCTGCGGGGTCGGGGGAGAGGCAGGGGGGGGGGGGGGCGAAAAAGGAATCGGAAGGGAGCGCCAACGTATGCCCACATCCACATTCCCGGCGTGCCGCTGGGACCTTTTCCCACGTTGCCGTCGCGTCGGACCAGCAGCAGCAGCAGGGACGGCGGCTTAAGTCGCTGCACAACTTATCCCCCTCCCGCTCCCCCCGCCGTCATCCGCTGAGCGAGAAGGGGGATTGGGAGAGAGGGGAGAAAGAGAGGGAGAGAGAGACAGACAGAGCATACTGAAGGCGCAGCGGCGGCGCGGTAAGGTGTGAGCCAAGGCGGTAATTTTCGCGTCAAATTGCGAGGAAAATTATTATGGTACTTCACCGATCAAAACTCGGACGAGCTGTATTGGTAGGTAGAGGGCGGCAGAGAAACGGGCGAGAACTGTCAATTTTAATCACTAAACAATTACACGGGGCGCGCATTTTCTTTGGTCAAAATCAGACCTCCCCGTGCCTCAAAATAAAAAAATTCTCTCCGTGAAACAGATAGGACTAATCAGCTGTCAGATGGAGAGGAAGGGGGGATCAGTTCTCTACGATTGGAAGACGCATGTCGATGCTATCCGTTGCCTATATCTATCCTAAATGAGACCTCCTGGCGGATTACAGGGAGCACGTTGGGGGAGGAGGGGGGACTGGGAGAGAGGGGGGGGGGTGTCTGAGCAGTGCGGCCGGCTAGCGGGACGGACAACTCTCACTTTCGGAGGCAGAGGAGAGGTGCCCGCCGCTCGGTGCCCGGCTGGGGGCCGCGGGCCGCCGCCGCGCCGGCCGGCAGGTGGTGATGGTGGTGGTGGGGGCTCCACGCCGCCGGACTCGAGCCCAGAATATTGTGCAATCCCCCCCTCTACCCCCTCCGTCCCCACTCTCCCCCCCACCACCACCAACTTCCCTGTCTCTCTAACCGCTAATGACCATCTCACCTCAGTAATGAATGAAGCCCACTCGGTTTGTGATGCAAGGCAGTCGCACGTTTCATTCATGATGATGGAGGCGTGCGAGTGAGCGCGTGCGTGCGTGCGTGCGTGCGTGCGTGCGCGTGCTTTACTTTGAGTGAAGAAAGTTCAACGAGTCAGAGGCGCCAAAGAGAGCCGAAAGCCCGGCAAATGAGCACGGCAAAGCTTTTGATACAATGTGTACACACACGCCGCAGCGGTGGTGCGGAGCGAGGTTGTAAAAAGTCTTATTGCGTCAAACATTCGCGCGCTGCTTGATTTTCGATTTTATTGGACGTATGGCAGAAAGTTGACACCATCCGATAACTCTGCGGCGGCGGCGTCCGCTAGACGGGTATGGGGCTCCGCCGCTCGACTACTCTCCATCAGCTGAGGGAGAGAGAAGAAGGGAGACGGTTGGGACGGCTCCGGTGCGGGAACGAGCGAGACAGATGGGCGCCGCTCTGTCTGGCGGAGGCTGATAGGCCCCAGGGTGCGGCTGGGAGGGCCGAGGCGCGGCGCGGCGTGGCGGGGTGGGCGGGGCTCGGGTGGAGCGGGGCGGGGCGGGGGGGCGCAGCGAACCCGTGTCTCACTCCTCCGGTGTACGCATCATTAAGGTTACCTGACAATCACAAACTACAAAATCAAACTCATTCAAGTTCGCAAAAAAACCAAAAATAAAATAAAATAAAACATGATTTACCTTTTGTATAGTCGATCAGATATGCACCTTGTATTAATTAAAGGTAACATGGTAACAAGTGGTTCGTGCCAAACGTAAAGAAAAATAAACGATTTGAACGTTAAAGAAAGTCAAAGGAAAACCATGAAATGAATGAATGCGGCTGGCGGTAATTGCACTCTAATGAATTTTAATATCACCGCTCGCCCACTCACAGCAGCCGCGTGTCGTGACCAAGTTTTATCGCCGATCTTCTTCCTGATGATAAGAACAATCGAAATGCGATGCGCCAGTGAAAGGCGGCGCCCGTGTTGCAATCGGATGCAATCGCGCTGCAAGTCATCATCATCTCACGTCTTTTAACAACATTACTCACCTATGTACACTCCTTCCGGAAAAGAGTATTAACCTCGATACATGTTCGGTCTGGGGTGACGGCTATGATTAAGGGAAAATGATTAAAAACCACAGAGGAAAGGGGAAAATGTGAGTAAAAAGAAGTGCTCTATAGCAGGAAGATGCTAAGATTGCGGGTAGAAAAGAATGATATGATAATGAAACTCAGCCATGACGCTGATGATCGTGATACTGACGGCTGAGGTGACAGACAAGGAAAGCCGCGAAAGGGAGCGGAACACCAGCTATTGTCCTTCCCTCTCTCTGCATCTCTCTCTCCCTCTCTCTCTCTCTCTCTCTCTCAAACCGTGCGTAGCACCTCACTTGGAAGTAAAAGTCGCAGTCCACCGCCACGTCATCCGAATAAACGCATACGGGAAAAAACTAAACGGGCGCGAAGCGGCAAGGATAAATCGCCTACCGCTTTCATGGGTCATTTTCCTTTCGTCGTACAGAAAATCGCGGCAGGCTCGCCGGGCCAGAGGCGGCGCTACGGCTGACTTGTGCGGCGGATAGCGAGTGAGTCGGTTTCAAATTCTTCGAGATTTCTCTCTCTTTCTCTGTCTCTCTTTCCCCCTCTCACCGCGTGCGAGCTTGAAATATCTTGAGTTGTGAGGCGCCCACAGGTGGTCCCCGCCCAGGCAGACAAACTGCGCCGCGCTGGACTTCTCCATCCTCGTCTAAGCAAGAGA